GACACACTTTCGAAATGGGCCAACATCCACTCTAGCCACACTTTACTTTTCAATATAAATAACAACAACAACAGCATCAAGCAAGACAATTGCAACTCTTGTTTTTATGGCTAATACTGTGCAGACACGCGCTTTTCATTTTGGCGCTTTTCTTGGCTCTGATAACGTCGTTAAATAGCGCCGCAGAAAGCGAAAATGAAATCGAAACCAAAAATGAAAATCAAATCCAAAGCAAAATGAAATTCATGTGCAGCAACTGCAACTTAACCGACTTTTATGGCTGCTTAAGTGCAATTAAGGCTATAAACTGATTTGATTTTGATTGATGCGGCGCAGCAAAGGGTGTGCAATAAGACCAACACAAAGACAAAGACATAGACCAAGACACGAACACAAAGCAAATGGAAAAGAGAGTGTGACAAACTCACTAGACTTTATACAACTGCGATTCAGTTTGTAATTTGCTGATTCAAGGCATTGAAAGGCATTTGCTAAGATTTTCATTTTCATGGATGGAAAAGGGCGTGTGCAATGCCCAATGCAGTCACGTGTGTGTGAGTGTGTATGTGTGTGCCAGGTAGACAGACATGTCAGAGGTGGAAATGCACGAGACTTGATGCGTTCGTCTGCGTTCCTCTCTCTTTCTCTCTCACACACACACACTCTCTATAAGCATGTGCAACAGAAATAAAAAATATATATATACATATATATCTTTAGTTTAGGCCGTTCGTCAGTTGTTGACGCTTGTTGCAGCCATTAAGGCGTGACGCCGTAAATTGCCAAAGTGTAAACTACAATAGAAACAAGCACGGCGAGTGCTTAAAAACAATAACTCATACTAAATAGTAAATACTTTGTACGCGCCACAACAAAACGCGAAAGCGAAATTTATTACCAAAAAAAAACAACTAAAATATATATATCTCGTATTTATAACTATTCGTCTTCGCACTCATCACAAATGTTTCGCTGCGTTTGGGGCAAGACTTTCACATACATTTTTCTATCGCCCGGTGGAATTTTGTGTAGATTTCTATATGGCCACGCCGGAACCGATTGTGTGACGACGGATGCGTTTCGGATGCTAAACAATACGCAGCAAAAATTCGCAAAACGGCAGAGCGAAACAGTTAAGACAAACGCGAACCGCACACGTTTGCAGCTAGTTTCGAACTAAAAATCAACGCAGACTCAATCCAAAAGGCGGCTAACAAACAGGTTCGACGCAACCAAAGACAAGAGAGAGAGAGCAAGCGAACGACAGAGAGAGAGAGAGAGAGAGAGAGAAAACAGCAACAACAATGAGCGTAGCAAAACATAACACACAACACATTGACCAAGTGAGTTCGCTCAATAGAGAAGCATCCGAAACTATTTGATAGTGCGTGGGCGATGGAGCCAAACAATGCTGCCAGCTAGTTGAAAAGGCCAAAAAAGGTTAACAGAGTGCATCAAAAATATATAATAAATATAAATAATATACGCTTAAATTAGTATCTCCCTCAATTAATTACTTTTATTACTTTTCATTTACTTTGCTTAATCATTTCTTATTCACAAAATCTGGCAGCCTCAGCTCTGCATAAAAAAGATGCCACTGCACTTGCAACACGTTCGCTTGCAACATGCTCGCAGCGAGCCGATAAGAACTTGGCCAATACTAAAATGCTGCAGCACTAAGGGAATTTTCATATATATAGATATATATTTATTTAACTGTCGTGCTTTTTATACTTTTTACACTGCAAAGTTAACGTTTTGGCTGCCAAGATGTCGCGCTGACACGTTGCCAGCAAACGGCAAAACGCGCTGCCAAAAACTGTAAAACGTGGGCCAATTACCAACAGCCAAGAGCTGCCAATTAGCATTGCAGTTAGACTACCAAAAAGTTTATCAAGCAGTTACCGGCTACCTTAGGCCAAATTAATGGAGCTTAAAAGATACGAGCTCTATAATTTATGCCTCTAATTTTTCTCTGAAGTGACAATCGCAGTGAATTCAAAATGGAAGATAATAGAGATATTATGTATGCGGCACATAAGTCATTGCTCATCAGGCAGCTAGAAACGCGGCTTAAGTTCCGGATGAGTTCAAAAGTGAGAAGTTATCCTAGAGAATTCAGGATAATGCTATGCGGAATGTTTAGGGCAAAGGAATTGATCGTAAAGCAAGTAATGCTTATAAGAATAATACTGATAAGGGAAATGAAAGCAACTATATATTATATATTATTGTACTAGTACATTATCCTTATCATTAGCAATATTATAATAAGAATAAGAATAATAATAATGTTTCCAATAAGGAAGAATTATCATAGCTGCAGTAATGATTATGGTTATGATTAATCGTGATAGTAATTCTTATGACAAAGACAATGAAATCGACTAAAATGGAAATTGAAATTGCATTGAAAAAATTTCTAATAATTGATGGACTATACTAAATATATATCAGTTAATCATTGGCAGTGTCAGCATCATTGCCTTATGCTTGTCATTATCATTACTATTGCCATATTTACATAACGCATTCAATATGAATAAGGACAATAAAAATGAGTATCAAAGCAAATATTTTTTATATATTTAGAAGGATCAAAACATTGGATCTACTATGATGTTACTCTTATTGTCAAATGACAATGTTGCATGTCATTATCATTCTGCACTGTCGTACAAGGTACACGAATATAATGATAAAGGAACACCTAACGATTCATAGTAGGCAATGAAATAAAATTCAGCTGAAGATTTGGCGTACTCTGTAACAGTATACAAATATTGTCATTCAAATGTTTTCTTTGCAGCAAGAAACATTTTTAAAAAATCTAAATTAAATTTTTATTTTGTAAGTTGTAACCAAAGACCAATGTGGGCATTTAAAACAGTAATCCCATTTGAGACGGCTGTCAAGCTGCATCCTCAATGCCGAAAATGGCCTACAGTGTGCTGGTTATTCTTGAAAATCTATGGAATGTTTAAGTACGCGATTTTGGATCAAAATCGTTTCTTTTGGATTGAGCTAGGCTGTATAATTTCATGCCTTTTGTTTATCAAATGGTGGCTCTGGCTAAGGAACACTAAAGTAAGTTAAAGCTAGATATCCGAGTTGTGTTATGATTAACCACTTGCTGCGGCCATAGCAGAGGCTCGAACAGGCAGTAATAGACGAAAGGAAGCTCAATCAGCTACATTTTGAGGAGAGTTTGGGTGAGCTTCTATTGGCTGCAAAACTGAAGGCTGACAAACAGGAGGAGGAGCAATCAGATAATTTATCGATGATGGACACTGCAAGGGATAGTAACTCGGACATGTTAGTGGATACATCCACTCCACGCACCGAGACCGGCAATGAGTCTCAGGCAAGTTCGTCATCGAATTCTCTATGCCCTACCACCAGGTACATCCAAACCAACAAGAAGAAGTCAGCCCCTATCAAGCGCAAGCATCCAGTGCCCGAAACAATGGCTGTACCTAAAAAGTCCCCCAAGTGGAGACTTTAGACTTTGGCCTTTTTTTTAATTTTTAGTCTCAGGGAGGGGAGCCAACAGAGTTCCATATTTTTTATATGTTCATAAGTTTTTTAAAATTTCCAGGTTAATATAGTTAAATTAAAGTGACAGAGTAAAAAAAAAATAAATAAATAAATTGAGCTACAGCACTTTCCCCCGTTTATTCTTAAATGCAAGTTCAACGTCATTTAAATATATTTCTCTGACGAAAGCAATGTTCAAGTTTTTCTTCCCAGACAATGCAAAAAACAAAGACATTAGCATGACAAATTAACGCTGGGAATAATCGGATGCAATGGCTGGAAAGTTAAGAGCTAGCCACACAATTTACGAGGCACTTGCATGAAGGTTAAACCTTAACTGATTGCACCGGCTGCATCTGCATCTTAATTAGATGAAATTTTCTCACAGCTAATTAGGATTAGAGAGTGCAAAGAAAACTGAAACTGCAGTTAGTTCCTGGCCAGCTTTTGGGTCAATTGTGAGTTGACAAAAATAAAAGAAATATATATGTGCAAGCATATATATAATGCGGCCTAAATTCTGTTGAACAGAAGAAAACTAAGAGTTGACAGAATTGCCGCAAGCCAAAACTCGTTTTCGTAACTCCTCTCTCTCTCTCTCTCTCTCTCTCTCTCTGTCCGTTTCTCTCTTGTGCGCATTCCAATGGCATGACAACCCCTTTAACAATAATGCAAAAAGTCCGCAAAACTTGTAACCAAGTCAAGCCGAACCGAAGAAGCGGCTCGCAGCTCGAGGCTCCAGTCTCGACGCTGCTGCAGCTACCTTCAACCTTTTCACTTGCAACTCACAAGGCGAAACTCTCAAGCAGACTTGACGCAAGGGCCGTCAGCAACAGAGAGAGAATCGCTTCCCAACTTCGTTGACAAGGCAAACAAATAAAAATAAACTCTAAGAGAAACAGGAAATGAACAAGTGATAAACATAGCTGGCCATAAGGAAATGCCAGCCTAACCAGAACTCAGAGAAAATCTTACACACATTTTATACGACTTTTCTAATCTGCAGCAATTAATCGGTCGAGTTTATGCGCTGCCTTGAACCAGACTATTAAAGGCCAGAAAAATAGCAAAACAAAAGCATTAATTTTGTGTGCCAAAACGAAAAACATTTATGCGATTCATGAATACTTGAAATATTCAATATACAAAACAATTGAAATATGAAAATTCGATAAGCTAAACGAATTTTGCTTTTACTTTAGTTTTAGTGAAATATGGATAGGGATCATAAAATTTCTGTTATATACAAACAATTAAAATAATATATGAATATTTCTTAATACATATGCAAAGCATGCATATATACAGTGGCTTATTTTATAATCAATTTATAAACCATAACCAAATGGGAACAACAAATGAAATGAAAATGCGTTAGGATCGTATGAAGCTCTACGTGAAAACCAAAGGCAACCCAAAAACTCATAAATATATATGAGAAATAAATAAATGTCGCTTACTTTCTCATGGAGCCCCAACGACGCTGGGGCAAACTATCGGGATTGCTGTAAAGAATATATGAAATGAGGTTTATTAAGCGTCTTAATTGAAAGGGGTATGAAAGGCCATTTCAAATATGTATTTCTATTTCTACTTCATATTTATAATGCCTATAAACTAAGCTATTAACTTTATATAAAATAATCTATAGCTTAAAAATAAATGCATGGTAAGAATAATTATAACCATAACCTCAAGGAATGAGGTTAACATCAAGGAATGAATTCTATAAATAATTCTACATTTGTGGTTTAATTCAATCCATTTTTAGATATAACCACATAATATTGGTATTTATCTTGAACTATTAAATATATGGAATAATTTCTGACCACATAAAAACTTTATATAAATATATGTTATTTATCTTGATGAACTGAGTTCTGTATGCTCAGTAAGAAGTTTTTAGATAAATTTACTTGTCTACCAAAAGCAGAACAGGTTTATTTATTAGATAATATTTTATACAGCTTCTAATTCGTTGTCACGAACCTAGTGAAGCTTAAGTTATGTAAGCCTAATTAGAGAAACCTTTGAAATTATATAAAAATCATTTTGACTTCGGCTAGAAATAGCCTCCTAATATTAGATATTTTTTTCTTTTTTTATAATAATAGATAATTCTACATAACTATCCAAACAAATGCTAATAAATTTAATAATATTGTTTATGCAACACATAATATTTTATGGACAGCTTTAAACAGAACTGAAGAAAATCCCCACCGATTTTCTTAAATTTTAAAACATTATTTAATTTAATGTCTAACAGACAAATGTTTTCCCTAAAGATATATAAACTAAGATCTTATAAAATTCTACATAACATATGGAGAGACTATTTATAACCTCTCATTAAAACGTATGCCAAAAGATAGCTAGCAAATCAATCACACACTCTAATTGAATAGAGGACAGCCCGCATACTGTATAATTTAAGAGAGCATCGATTGCTCTTAATGCAGGTGAATCTAAAGTTCACCATAACACACCTCGCTATCCGTCTCTCTTTCCCACTGACATAGCGCTCTCTTTGTGGTGTGTTGAATACAGGCGGAAACAAAGAGCGCTCTCTGTTCGCGCACCGACTGACTATAAGCCTCGACTGCGATTTCGACTGGATCGGAACGCATGAATCACGGCCCAAAACGCGAGACATAGTAAAACTGGTTTTCCAGCTCGTATATATACGAACGGAGATACATACAGATGTGCATACACAACAGAAAAGGTTAAATATTCAAATAGACTTACAGAAAGAAAAAAAATAATAATAAAAAGAAATACAGAAATTAAATCAAGGCAGACGGACTCTGGTTGACGATCGCTAAGCAGATGCGGCTTAGAGTATTACTTGGAGTTGGCAAACTGGTCAGTTTATGGGCATTACGTCAAGAGGCGCGACGATTATGCGACTGTGTGCAAATAACATGACTTGGGACAGCATAAATTTCTACAAGCATTCAAGCCTTCCATAACTAATTGTTGATCGTTGCGACCTTATATGGCAGGCGAGACGCCGACTTGTTATGTGTCTGGTGATGTTACCTTGTAGGTGTGCGTCTCAGACTGCGTCTGGCCCAGTTGTCGCGGGGCATAATGTTGAGCTCCTCGTCACTGCAACCGAAAAGAGACAACAGACAATAGGTTAATAAAACTCTGTGAGATGAGTATATAAATTACATGCACTCTTACTCCTTGGGCGAGGATGAGACAACGTGAGGCGCCAGATCGAGCTCAATGCCAGCCGTATCATCCAGATTGTTATTGCCGTCATTTGAGTGTCCACTGTGCTCATGCACTGATCCGTTGTTCATGCTGTGATGGTGAGTGTTGTTGCCATTGTTAATGCTGTGGCTGTTGCTGCCGCTGCTGTTGCCATTGTTGTTGCTGCCCGCCGCACGCAGCTGAACACTGTACTCGTTCTCGCCGTAGCCCTCAAAGGATTCGCCATCCGACAGGGAGGAGCACTGCGATTTGGCAACGCCCGCTGTGGAAGCATTAAGAAGGCGAGGTAAGGCGGAAATCTTTGACCATAGTCTATGATGCAATTTACCTGTGCTCGAAGGCGGACTGCTGGGTGTTGGGCTGCTGTCGCCGGAAATTGTTTCGGCATACAGAAAATTGTTGGTTGTGGCTTTTATGGCCGCATTGTTATTGGCCAATTGAATGCGTGGCATGGGCGCCATACTGCCAAAGCTGCTCAAAGCCTGCAAAGAAATGCAAAATGTTCAAAGTTACTTTAAAATTGTCTAGCAATAAGCAGCGGCAAACAGGTCAATAGGACAGCTAATTGAGTTTCGACATGCAACCGAAGAAGCCACAAGAATGCATCGCACTGCAATTCGAACTCTGTTGGCTGAAAGGCGACAACAACTAGAGAAAGCCAAACAGGGCTTGGCCAAAAGGCTTTCTTTGTGCTCAAGTGGGATTGTTTGTCTATAAAAGTAAATTAGCTTTTTATTAGTTGTATAATAAAATATAATAATTTGCCATTAGTAGGTAAACAATTATATTTTATTATTCAGCTGAAAGATAAGTTTTCTTTCCTCTATATAAGTTTCGCCTCGATCCCAATCAGTATAAAAACAAGTAAGAACGTTGCAGTCGGGCGTTACCGACTGCGGAATACTCATTCACATCCCATCAACAATTTAGTAGTTAAGTTTCGCTCTAATACTGTAGAATATACAGGTTTTTCCGATTTGCCACGCCCCAACTGGGCGTAGACACCTCATTTTTGGTCAGTTTTTAGAAAGAGATAACGGTACCCTAACTGCAAAGTTTGAATGCTTACCCTCAAAAAATGTGAAAATTACAGGGTATTTTTCGATATGCCACGCCCCTAAAGAGGCGTAAAAATTATTTTTGGGGAATCGATAGAGGAGGCTACCAGTAACTCAACTATCCAAATTTGAAGCTTCTAGCTATTATACTTTTAGGGAGATATAAACTTTTGCGGTTTGCCACGCCCCCCTGTGGGCGGACATATATCCGACAAAACTTTTTGGTCTTGGGTGATCAGTCCGAGTATATATACAAAATTTGAGGTCTCTGCCATCAATAGTGTACAAAATATAGGAGAATTTAAAAAATCACTATATCTTCAGGTCCGATTTGCCACGCCCCCAATGGGCGTAAACTTGTAATTTATCTTCAGACTTTATAGAATCATACCATTAGCTGACGTGCAAAATTTCAGCATTCTAGGTTTACAACTTTAGGAGATACAGTTTTATCCGATTTGCCACGCCCCCAATGGGCGTAGATATATCCGCCATAGCTCGTGATCTTGGGTGGTCAACGCGGACCTACATACCAAATTTCAGCTTTCTAGCTCTTCAACAAACATGATTTCTGGTATATCGGAAAATGCATTTTCCGATTTGCCACGCCCCTAGTGGGCGGATCGGGAAAATTTTAACACTTTATAAATCGGAGATATACACGAGTATGTGTTCCAAATTTCAAGTCTCTAGCTTCAATAGCGCCGAAATAGATTGCGTTCATACGGACAGACGGACAGACGGACAGACGGACGGACAGCAAGACGGACATTGCACAAAACCAATATACTGATTCACTTTCGTGAATGAGTATAATTAATCAACCTATAATATAAAAGCTTATGTAATAAATAATACAGAATATTCCACTTACTAATTACATCATAGAATATTAAAATTATGTTTATATATGTATTATATTATAGATTTTTATTATATCATTATTTTATTATATTTATGAATATTCTACTACTACTAATATAATTAAATATATTCTGCTTACTAACAACAAATTTGTCTTCCTCTGCTTAACTTTTTAGCAAGCTCGTAACAAAAAAATAACAAAACGCTAACTACATACATAACATGGATATATAATTATATACTCATAATACCATACCTACATTGGAAGTATTTCATTTTATGTACTATAAGAAAGTTTATACTCGTATGTATATTATATCTACTATAATATATATATTGTTTACTATTATTATATCTATTTCCCAATCCATATATATATTTCTTTATTTCTAAATACATTTCCGGTTTCTGTATCTTCACTACCTTACGCAATTATATTTATAAATTCATCAACTCCCATTTCATTTAAATAAAATAGAAACTGCAACAGGTAGCACACTCACTGCATTAGCTGCGATAGAACTATGAACGGAAGTGGTCAGCCCAAATAGTAAAAAGTTATCCAAATAGGTCGAGGTCTGTTGTGGTCACTTCCCTCTCGGCGCACAGCACAATTAGACAGACGAATACAGCCCCCGCAGTAAAACGCAGCGGCGACATTTCTAGAGAGGCCCATTTGTAAGGCCCGCTCAGCGTGCGTAATTACTTTATAATTGTCTTGCCTATGCTTTGTCATTTCGAGCGGGAGCGGGAGAGAGAGAGACAGCAACTGAACTTTAACTAGCTTTATTTCTTCTTCTTTCTTTTTGTTTACTTTTTGGGTTACACGCTTTCGTTTCGTAGAAAGCAAAGAAATAAAACAAAAAATGTACTTGGGAGCAAAATCTATAATAATATTGAGTACAATATACCCATAGACCCAACCCATTCGTGTGTGTTTTTTGGGAATTTTGTTCATGATTGATTGAAATGTCAGGGCCGTTAGGCGACACGATTCGACGGTGGGCCCTAATAAATAGGTCAGTTTATTTTCGTGTAGATGAGATAACATTTATTAGAGACCAGTTAGCAGGCATGGTAATCATTAGCAGCTAACTGATTTGTATAGTTACAAATAGCTGGAATTAGCTCCACTTTTCTATTGAGTAATCTGTATTATGATCAGCCAGCTTTAATTTTACCATCAACTTTCCTTATTCACGCTTGATCACCCGCATTTTTAATGTCTCAACTTTCTTAGACGGAGCAACCTCTTAACCTTTTAGAGTGAACTTCATTGTCTGACTCGTTTCACTTGAAACGAGCAAAGTAATAATAATAATAATAATGATGTACGCAATTGCATTTTCAATCATATATTAGTCATAATGAGGCAACATAAAGACCTGTGATTAAATATTGATTATCTAGCAAATTGCAGCAAGCGTTTTCAACTGGAAAAATGCGCAATAATGAAAAATGATTATTACATGGCAGAAGTTCAAAGCGAAAGCAAAACCAAACAACAACAAAAAACAAGTAAAAAGAAAACAAATAGCTAAACAGTCAAAGCCAACAAATGTTTGTGTGTGCACGTTGGTTTTTTTTTATGCTTTTGACCATTGACGAAAGGGCCAAGACGCAGGCAAACGCAAAGTAGGAGCCACTTGCTGGGTGCAATGAACTCTTCGAGCAGCGAGTCGAAAATAATGTTGACGTGACGACGACAACTGCATTGAAAAATCGATGTTTGCCAAGTTTAGGAAAGTTGGCCAAAACGAGTGAAACGAAATTTTGCACTTATGCAATTGCTTTGCGCCTTCTGCCAATGCATAATCCGCAGAAATGAGGGCGTGTGAGCTGACTGCTGGGACAGCTCGACAGTTGCATGTCAGCAAATGCAAGATGAATGGAGAGGGTTGCTCAAGTTGCTAGGAATGAGTGCGGCTTTTATTAATAGTATCGTAAAAATAATAATAATAAATAAATAAATATTAATAAATAATATTAATATTAAACTGCAGCCAAGTTGATAAATATAAGAATGAATATAACGATCATTAGTAATACTTAAAGAAAACTAAATAAACATAAAACTAACATTCTTAATATCGAAATCCATTATATGTATAAAAATTATTATTGTAGACAGTAATAAATCATATTCTATTCAATTCTCAGTTAGCTTTTTTTGCAAGTAATAATTGATCAGCATGTGAAACTTGGAAATTCTTAATGAATATTTATTAATAATTTTTTATCATAAATATTTTTCTTTTATTGATTACTTTCAAACGAAAAATAAATATATTAATTTTTTATAATTACTTTCTGTTCTTTCGTTTATTTCTGAAACCAAATTTATTTCAATTTTGGAGCAGCCAAAAGAATTAATTAATAATTTAATATAAGTATTTATATTATTTATGAAGTAAATGAATTTTTGTGTAATTATCTTCAAATCCTTTCAATTTAAATTTACATAGTTAACGAATTATTATTTTAAAATATTTATATGTATATTTTAGTTCTACAATTTTCATTTTATTTAAATAATATATAGATAGTTATATTTTTAATTTTATTCAGGGTATATTGGCTTTGCTTGTTATTTACTTTATTTTTCCTTTTAATTCTCACCGATTAATTTATATCTATTGTAGTCATACCTATATGTATGTCAGCTGAATATAATTGAAATGGATTTTGCTGCCGTGTGGTTTGGCCGTTATTGCAACCTGTTCAGCGGCAACAAAAACAGAAGACTGCATACAGTTATTAAGCTGCGGAAAGATGCTGTCAGACAGAAGAGGGTGGTGCCCGCAAGACTCACAGCCTCACAGTTGGATTTATCATTTGTCATGCCTCGCAGCGGACTCTCAGAGTCATAAATGTGTGACGATATTTGTTGCTGTTGCTGTTGTTGTTGTGTTGTTGTCTGTTTGCGCTTCTCCGTTTCGCTGATTTGCAATGCACTTTTCATGCAAAATCGGTCGGTGGCTCTATAATTGTAAATGTATTTCCCATGAACATTTTTCCATTGTCTACACAACTGCAACTCCAACAGCAACAACAACAACAACAATCAGCATATCATCAGCACCTGATATGCACAAATAAAGAACTGTGTGAACTTTTATTTGAACCGAAACAGACAAAGCGAGAAGCTCTGTGAGAAGAACGTAATTAACGTGTGCAAAGCTTAATTAAATTGTTGTTGTAGCATTTTTTGTTGTTGCTGCTTTCTGTTACAACTAAAGAAGAAGCCTACGGCTATTTTCTATTAACAACAACCAGCATAAGCTTGACTTTATATACTTCATGAGTCTCTTACTAGAAACCGAAGCTGAAAAATCTATTTTATTAAGCTTAACTTAAAGAATAAAATGATATAAATTATTTTCATAGAAATATGTTGCATAAAATTATGTTATTATTGTTATTTAAAATTATACATAATATAAAGTATAATTTAAAGTATATTTATATATATATATATATATATATATATATATATTTTTTTTTAATATGTATTTATAAATTTATAAACATTTAAAAGGCAATTAAAAGATAATCTAATA